AGTGATTTATTACAAGCAACATTTACTGACAGTTTTCAGGAGACTTTGAAATGATTTGTACGTCATTGAACTACAGAAACATCTCCAGCAGGCGTTTTCAGCTGTATTTCATGTAGAAGTTTAATATTAAACCATCATTGTTTTCCTTTTTATACAACATTTTATGTAAACTTGCACATTTTCAGGTGATTAATTTGCACATTCCTGCAAACTGGAAGTATTTCTCTGACTTTTCATGACTTATAATCCTTCTTATTTGTCTTTTGATCTACATGTTACTAAAACACTAAATAAGATTCCTCATGTGTGTGTTTTTAGAGCGAGACGTCTCAAATGAGAAACAGAAAGCCGACACAGAAAAATAAATCTGCTTTCAAGCACATTTTAAAGAAAGAATTGTTATAATTTTGTGAACATCTACACATTTTCTTCTCACTTTTTTATTAAATTAGACATTTTCAGACATTTTTTTTACACCTGAATAAACGATCAGTCAACGGATTATCAGCCTGGACGATTATGAGACTCAATAATCTGAGTTTTTAGCCCAACGTCGGCGGTTTGTGGCAGAGTTTACAGCAGACGTGTGAGGTTTATGATCACAGTCACATGATCTCAGCTGGAAGATGAATTACTCGACTGCAGCAGAAACAGCTGCACGTCTGTAAAAAATCACCTCAGTGGCACTTATTCACACTTACTTTGCTGCTCACATGTTCACAAACGTTACTGAAGTCTAAATATTTTTCTGTCATATTTAGTTTTTGTATTCAGGAGATTTTTCTGTTTCTAAGCCGGACGTTTGCAGCTCCAACGATTTATTCTGTTTTACTTCACTTTGCAGCTCTTGTTGTCCACGTGGGTCATTTTCCTGAACAAATAAAAGACCAAGAATAATATTTTTGTCTTGAATTTCTTTCTCTTTTGCCGCCTGTAAGACTCGAACCTGCTAAAATCTGTGATCGATGTCATTTGGAATAATTCAACAGATTGATCAAACACACGAGGCAGCATGTCAGGGTTTATTTTTACGACTTTATTCAACTCGATTGCAGAATGTGAAGCATTTAAATGAGACCTGATGATGATTTTACTGTTAGTGACCGTCTTAATAATATAGATAAATTATATACGTGCTTCCTGTTTGCAGCAGTGACTTTATTTCATTCTAAAATATGACAACAGGTGGCCTCACAACAATAAAATCACATTTTATTGGACCTTAATTAGCTGTAGTTGGATGAATTAGAATCCCACATGGACAGCTAATAACCTGAATGTTACCTGTAGCTTCACTGCATCAGATAATCATTCATATTAACTGTCAATAAGTCAACACACACTGAAATCCTGAATTTTAACCATGATTTTTGTTCTTTTGTGAGTTTTTTCAGACATTTTCAGTGGCTCCATCTCATCAGACCTCTTAAACATTCCTAAAAACGTCCCTGCAGCCAGTTTGAACTCATTTATATTCATGTTTTCTCTAATTAGCCCACAGAGCTGCGGAGCTTCAGACAGCTGCTGCCTCGTAGATTCACTCGATCCGTCTCGTTTAAACCTTAAATCCCGCGATAACAGCCGCCGGACTCACCTGCTCGTTCAGCTTGTTCAGGTTCTGGAAGTCGCTGCTGACAGAATCCGGCAAAACGTCTTTGCTGAAGTGAAGCTGCATCTTGTTGTTTTCAATCCGCAGCTTCTCTCCAAAACTGTCCGCCGGACTTCCGGGTCCGCCCGTACGCATGCGCGCCAAGTGCCAAAAAGTGATCTTCTGCCAAAAAGCGGCTCCGGCCAGGGGGAAGCTGCTCTGCTTCTGCCTCTGCTCCACTTCAGCTGCTCCTGGTGCCGCTGCAGAGCCACGACAGCTGCTCTTAGCGGTTAAATCAGCTTTAAAGGAGCAGTTCGAGTCAGACAGAGCAGCCGTCTTCCTGCCAGAAAGTGACCACAGCTCCTCAAAGGTCCAAAATCACCTCATTTCATGCCAGGAGTCTTTTTTCTTACACTTCAGGATGAAACACTGGGATTTTTAGGCCACTATGCACTGCAGTCTGCACTATATTGCTACTACTACTGACAATAATAGTAATAACTATTACAACTTTATTCATATATCATCTTTGAAAAACAGAATTTACAAAAAAGAAAAGAAGGAAACTGTGGAAACATATTGAACAGCAGAAGGCCGATCAGTCCAAACATGATAAAGGATTCTCAAGATAAATTAGTACAACAGCAGCAGACAGAACAATAAAAATCCAAGTAAAGGAAAAAACAAGCGGAATAAAAAGAAAAAAGGAGGATAAAAGTATAAACACAAGGCTGGAAATGATTATAATATGAGTAGAAATAGTTCATAAGTCAAATAAATGAATCAATACGTAAATAAATAAAGTGTAAAAGAGAATAAAAATGAACAATGAAATAAAACACTATTAAATCCTGTATTGCAAGTAAACTAGTGCAGACAGGAACCAGGAGTGAACATGTTATGTTGTCATTACTGCATTCTGGATTCCATTATTTTAAGTATTTATTATTTGATTTTTGAGGCAGTATTTCTTCACTGAAGTGTTTTTATTCTCTGCTCGTGTTTAAAGGCCGTATCTATTCATTTATTTATTCATTTATTTATTGACAACTTTGCAGACTTGACATTAAAGAAGCACATGAACGGCTCAGATGTGACGCATTGCTGTAAATAAACCATCGACCGGCAAGAAAAATCAGCTGCAAGAGAACTAACATGCAAAATGGTGCAGGTGTTTTACAACATTAAAGAATATCTAAAAGTCTAAATACAGTCTAACATGTATTTCTAAGACCTGTTTCTGTTTAGTGCTGTTTTTGCTTTACCAGCTGAAAAGTCTTCATGCAGTAAAATAAATGACTCTTTTATTCGACTACAAACACAATCCTGCTCACAGAGTGTTTTTATATAGTGCTTTCTTTTCTTTTTTTATGATTTTGTGCTCTTGTGTTGTATTTATGCTGCTAAACAGCCTTTTGCTGTTGTTCAACAATGACAATAACATTTATTTTGATCTGATTTTCACTCCTTTGGTCATGAATTGTTGTAAAAAGAGGTTGACTGAGACTAGAGACTATAACACATTTATTAGACCACCTGACTCATTTGGTAAACACTGTGTATATATATATAAATATATAAATAGACCATCCAGCATCATGAAGTGCTTTAATGACACTCAGCTCTCCATGTTTTACCGTTTTGAACATCCATCCATCATCTACCAGTAACCAGTCTATCACAGGGCTACACTTAGAGACAGACAACCAAGCACACTCACATTCACACCTACGGACAATTTACAATCACCAATTAACCTCAGCATGTTTCTGGACTGTGGGAGGAAGCCGGAGAACCCGGAGAGAACCCACACTGCACGGGGAGAACATGGAGACTCCACGCAGAAAGATCCCGGGTGTCCTCACCGGGATGCGAACCAGCGACCTTCTAGCTGTGAGGCAACAGTACTAACCACCGAGACACCTGCAGCCCTGAATGAGGAATTTCAAACTGAATTCACCTTTTCAATCTGAGCCACTGAGCTTCTCTGAGAAGTCAGAAATTAATCATTAATCAAACATTCAACCACTAGAACTAACTTTTTCTGTCCAGGAATGCAAGTAAACAACTATGATTTGACATTTTAATCAAGAAATAATAATGTTCTTTACTGTTTTTTTCTTTTCTTTGGTAAAACTGCAAATTTGAAAATCCATGCATAACAATAATAATCCTATTTTAGCATTAAAACATCATGTTGGTTAAAGATCTTCTACATGCTGGTGTTTTAACCATCACAGAGACATGATGTTGGTAATCACCGATGCTGTTCGTCTAGGGCATAAACCTGACACTGGGTGGAGGTCTGTTAACATAATGCTGCTCTCACAAAGTGCTGTTTTATCCTTAAGCTTGTTTTTATTTAATCTTTATTCTACTTTTGTTGTATTTGTGTTGCTAAACTGCCTTTAACAACGACAATAAACATCTATTTCACTGTTTTTCTGCTAGAGAGAGGTTGGCTGAGACTGTATTTATATGTATACAGAGAGAGATAAAGTGTTTCTTGTTTCTACATTTCACCTGAGGGGGACAGAAAGTGGGCGGGGACGGTCTCACCTGGGGAAGCCTGGAGCGGCCAATGCGCGCCGCGTGGGAGGACCGACCGGAGGAGGGCGAGAGACACCGGGAGCCAGTGGGGGAGAGAGAGAGCGAGAGAGAGAGAGAGAGAGGGAGGGAGGGAGGTGGATGTGCAGCGGCATGCTTCCACAGCGTGAACAGCTCCTGCCAGACACCGACTCAAGTCCGCGGCTCCTCGTTGCACCTTGAAGAACAAAAACACAAACTCGTCTCCAAACTCGCTTTTTACGCACAGAAGCGACGCCTCCGGTTCCTCGGCTTCCCCCCGCCGTGGATGAGCGCACCGAGCGTGGACGGTTATGTAAGTATTTCACCGTGGAGGGCGTTTTTTTTTCAGTCTTTTTTTTCTTGCCTCTTCTTCTTCTTGTCTGCAGGATTTATTGCAGGAATCGATCGAGCGAAACACGTTTTGGTTCGGTGGGTTCGTTTTATTTCTCGGTGCACTTTGTAAAGTTGCACATGTGCACGATCCAACCTGGTGAAAGTCTGCACCACCGACAGCCCCAGTGCTCTCTGAATTAATTAGAGCCACTGCATTGATGCTACAGGCGCCCACTTGGTGACTTTAACGCTCTGAATGTCTTCTGGTCTCCACATAATGTTGCTCTAATTGATGTTGAACGCTTCACGCTTGTCGGTGATCTCCGCCTGCGGTGCGTAAAAAGTCTTTAAAGCCACTTTTATGCGCGTTTTATGATCGTGTGTTTGTCCAGCAGTGAGTTTTGTGTGACTTTGCGCGGCTGGATTCGGGTGAAGTGCAGGACAGCAGGAGTTCTGCGGACCGCACGGCACGATCGGGCTTTTTTTTTTTTTTTTCTGCTGCTGCTGGTTTCCTGGTCGTGAACGCGCTCCGGTGTTTGAACATGTACAGACTCACACGAGTTCACCGGCTCCACTTCCTCCAAGGATCGCTGGCTCTGTGCAACCTGCTGATTTATGGGCCGAGCTGCTCTTGTTTGACAGGTAGGAACAGATACGCATCCACTCACTGGTCTGAAAGTCCAGCGACCAACCGAACAGGGGGAGGAGACGGCGGGATTATGGGATATGTCACAGTTTGAGCAGCAAAACGGCACCAGTTGAACGTTTATGGCAGAATCACAGAAACAAGGACTGTTGACCTGGACGTGTTGCCTGTAGCCAAAACCACCAAAAAAAGTGTCCAACGTACCATAAACCTATCCAACCCGTCTTCAAAAAGTTCTAAAATGACGTTTATTTTGTCCAAAACTACTTAAAAATTGAAATAAGTGACTCAAAAATGGGCCAAAATGACTCAAAAATAAGTCTAAAGTGACTCCAAACTTGTCTAAAATGACAGAAATGTGTCCTAAATGAGTTAAAGTAAAGTTACCAAAATGTCTACAGTCACTTCAAACATCCACCGTTATCCAAAAATCATCCAGAACGACAAACAGATTATCCAGTCCGCATTATAATCCACTTTGAGCGTCAGTGTTATGGGAAAAACTTTCCAAAATTCAATAAATGTGTCCACAGTGACTTTTAGTTTTTCCAAAACTACTCACATTTCTGACAAAGTGACTCAAAAATATGCCGAAATGCTTAAAAATACGTCTAAAGTGACTCCAAATCTGTCTAAAATGACAAAAATGTGTCCAAAATGAGCTTTAAAAGAGACGTCATAATGCAGCAATCACTTGGAAATTGTCCAGAACTATTTAGAAAAAAAAAATCATCCAGAATAACAAAGAAACGATCCGATTAACTTTAGAATCAACTTTGTGCAAAATCTGCAGCAGTTTAATGTCTGACACAGAATCACAGGAACAGGACTGGGATGTGTTATCTGTAGTCTTTGTCTGAAATGACCTCAAACTTATCCAGATTGTTTTTTAAACTTTCCAAAATCCAATAAATGTGTCCTAAAAGACTTACAATTTGTCCAAAACGACTTAAAAATGGAACAAAGTGCCTCAGAATTGGACCTAAATGACTCAAAATACGTCTAAAATAAGTGAAATAAATGAGTTTAAAAACGTCACCAGGGTGACTACAGTCGCTTAAAACATCCAGAATTAGTCAAAAACTGTCCAGAATCACAAATAAATTGTCTAGTTAATTTTATAATCCACTTTGAGCGTCAGTATTATGGGATGTATCATAGTTTAAACAGCAAAGCTGCACAAATTTAATATTTATGACAGAGAGTCACAGTAACGAGGACGAGTAGTAGTGTGTCCAGAATACCTCAGACTTATCCAGATTGTCTAAAAACGTTCCAAAATTAAATAAATGGTCCAAAATAACTCGTTCTTTGCACAAAACTACTTAAACATTTTAAAAAATGTTCTCAAAAGTGGTCTAAAATGATTCAGTTGGTCTAAAATGGCAGCAATCATTGATAAATTGTCCAGAATAATTTATAAAATCGTCGAGGAATCATAAAAACAGGATCCAGTCAATCCCATAGTAAACTGTGAGCATCAGTATTATGGGATGTATCGCGGTGCCCTGGATGTGTTCTTTGTTGTCTTTGTCCAAAATTAGTCAGAAATTGTTGAAAGTACCTCAGACTTCCCCAGATTGCCTTGAAAACCTTTAAAAGC